AAGGTAAGAGACACATTGGCGAAGTGCTTTATAGGTATTTGTTGTCGAACCGGCACCTCCTAAACTAAAAATAACGATTATAAAGCCGAGCCTACCGATCGGCCCCTAACCCCAGCTCATGTTTATAAACATTTTATAAATGTTTACACTTTTACGCGCTCCCCGGGACGCAGCCTATCCCGAGCCAAATTTCATAAACTTTCAGATTTTCTTAGTGTCATTTGTGTACTTACTGCGGTTTATCTCAAACTTTCTACAACACTCAGCACTGTAGCAGTTAGCGCTCCCGGCCGAAGCCTATAAAAGCTTCAAACTTGTTGTTTTCTTTTGTTGCCGACTAAATGACATAAGGGGTGCGTACTGGATCTAAATTCTACTTCAGACACACCTTTTCAACGTATTGTTTCAATCCAGAGGAACAGATAAACAAGTATTCGTCGAGAAGTAGTCGGTGCGCTGGGAGAGGTTAGGAGGTTATGTTGCACCTAAACTCGCAGACGTCGCAGAGGATTCACCGACAAAAAAATATACAATTTCCAGTGAAATCAGCATTAATCTTTATGGGCACAGTTGTTTTCTACTGTTAATATATAGCCCTGTTACAGTCTGACTGCTGTTTCGTCACAAAGAAAGGTAAATTACAAGTTTAAAGCTTTTATAGGCTTCGGCCGGGAGAGGGCTAACTGCTACAGTGCTGAGTGTTGTAGAAAGTTTGAGATAAACCGCAGTAAGTACACAAATGACACTAAGAAAATCTGAAAGTTTATGAAATTTGGCTCGGGATAGGCTGCGTCCCCGGGAGCACGTAAAAGTGTAAACATTTATAAAATGTTTATAAACATGAGCTGGGGTTAGGGGCCGATCGGTAGGCTCGGCTTTATAATCGTTATTTTTAGTTTAGGAGGTGCCGGTTCGACAACAAATACCTATAAAGCACTTCGCCAATGTGTCTCTTACCTTTTTATCGAAGGTCTGATGTGGGTCGGGCATTATTTTGTCTGAAATACTGAAAGTATTGGACCAGTGCGACAGGGTCTCCTCAGCGCTCGCAAATAGTTTTGTTCATTAACAAGATAAAAGACGCGAAATAGGTGAGGTCTTGTTATATTCCAGCTCCTTGTGACCTGCGGCAACGTATTGAAAACTTTCCTTAACGATTCTTGTATGGCAAAGCATTTTAAACATAACTAATCTGCAGTGAGGAGCACTGAGCGGTGGTTTGAACGGCCGGTTCGCGCCGTCCGGGCGGCGACTTCCGGCCGTGCGATTCCGGAGATCGTTCAAGAGGGGCTCTCCTATACCTGCCATATGAGTGCAACAAGGACGGAGCTATACGGGAGGTATAGGAGAGCCCCTCTTGAACGATCTCCGGAATCACACGGCGGGGCTCGCGCATAGGCCGCGCTCTCAGCACTGCGTTGCGACCCCCTGGTGTAGTCTACTGTGTGCGAGCACTACTCACGCCCAATTGAGAATGAGCAGTTAACTCAATCGAATCTATTACTCAATACAAGCAGGTATTGTAAAACATCACTCGTTTCGTTATCACCCCAAAAGGCCTAATGATCCCCAGGGAGAAGGTCGGGAGGTTCCGGTTTAAAAAAAAAAAAAAAAAAAAACTCGTTTCGGAAAATGAGCTCTCATGAATTAGTTTTCCAAACGCGTTATTTTACACACGTTCCGTCTTTTTAATATCACAGGCATTATTACATTTAGCAATTGAAACTTAATACATCAGATTATGAGCAAGGAAAACTACTGTTTGATTTGTCTTTTGTAAAATTGCGAAATATTTATGCTAGGCAAGTATAGTGATAAACCGCCTAAAACGTTCACTTCATTTGTAAAAGAAAAACCACAAAACATTTTACACTTGATAAGTGGAGTGCTCAATTCAAATCAGCGATTAGTGTGCAACTCTCGAATCGTGAATTAAAAAGTGTGCTACTCGGGCCCTTGGCTTTTTAATTTTTCAGTTGAACACTTTCTTCAAATTGACACAGCTGTGAGTAGAACTTTCTGATGCACAATTCGCTTGAACATTTAATTCATCAGTGTTTACAACTTCTTGCCAATTATGTATTACATAAAATAACAAGTGCCATTTCATTTTGCATTTTACTCACAAATATTTTGTAATTTTACCCAGAAGAAATTAAAACAGTTTGAAGACAATCGGAAATTATTGGATGTTGGTTAAAGTATGCCTAAGAGTTTAAAAGTGGACCACCCTTTTCTGAGCAGGGTGAAAGTGGCGGACCTCGGCACCGTGTAGCCCAGAAGTAGAGACTTGTCCCATTTTGGGTCTTCAGTTGTACACCATATTTTCCTTTCCCTTTTAAGAAACTTAAATCTCGAGACAATTCATAAGCAAAATTGAGAAAGTCTGGTGACGCCTCGCGTCAAACCACACTGGCACAGTCTGCGGATCATATGTGCGTCTGGTTGGACGCGGCGCGCAGCGTCCTGTACTTCCGAAGGACGCGGGCGCGCCAGCTGAGGTTGGCGGGCTTGGTCGTCGTCGTCCGCTGGCTCGTCTCGGCGCTCGGCACCGCCTCTGCCTCGCGCCGCACGTCCGGCAGGGTGTGGAGGGCGACCGGGGAGGGCGGCAGAGACAGCGACGAGCCGCGGAGCGACCCCGTGGGCGACAGCGGCGAGAGCCCCGGCTTGTGCGGCTTGGCGCGCCGGAAGCTCTCCTGTATCGTGAGGTGGGTGAGTTGCGTCGAGCCCTCCCTGGAACATCAGACCAAAGTTAAGCGGACGTTCGAAAGTAAACTGGAAAAACAAAGGGCCTGAGGTGCACCTTTTGCAGAAGCGTTAAAATGCATTTGGAAAGGAACTAAACCGTTAACACGTTTTAGAGTTGTGACTTAACGGACATAACGCCTTTGTTTTTCTAGTATACTCCTCTCTTGGCGACATTCATACGGTGGTGATGATATTGTTTTTCGCCACGTACCTAGGCCGGAAACAAGACCACTGTTTTCTTCTCTTCGGTTTCCAAAGCTGGAACATCCCGTACACTGCCGGGTTGACGACGCTGTTTGCCATGCCAAAGAAGAAGATCCAGTCCATCCACTTGGAGTCGTACCACTGCACATACCAAAGCAGAGCAGTAGTAAAGTCATTACAAAGTTTTGCACTTTACGGTGAAAACAAATGTCTGATTTTTGGGAGAAAAAATGGAACACTTGCAAGAACGCCTATAATTTGTGGGTAGTTCTTCAGATTTTAAGGAAGCCTCAAAAAGTTGGGGAAACGCCCACATTGTTTGGAGACTTTCTGAAAGTCTGGGGAGTTTCCACCAACGAATGGGATTTCCTCGCATATTTCTCTTTTCCGCCAAATTCAGACACTATTTTTACCGTGTTGCGCGCGCTTTGCTGGCTGTCTTCAGCGTTGGGGGAAAGTACACATTAGTGCTCCGCCACATAATGTAAGAGGGGCTCAAGCTGGTGGCTTTACCTGGCCCGGCGACAGGAAGTAGACGAGCATGGTGCCGTAGTAGGGCAGCCAGAAGACGATGTAGGCGCACACGATGACGACGGCGATCCAGCGCGACTTGACCATGGCGCGCTTCATGCTGCGCTGGCGGTTGTGCGTCATGGACACGCTCATCTCGCTCATCATGCGCATCTCGCTGCGGCCCCCTGCGGCAGAGACGGACAAATCAAACACGAAACACGCTGGCCACGCCCCGCCCCACCCCGCCCTGCCATCCCCTTCGCTCGCCGCCGTGCCGTGCCGGCGCATCCTGCGCCCGTGCAGCCGAGCGCGCCCGCAAAGCAAAGGGAAGCGCCAAGTCTGCCTTGGCCGCGCGCCCAGCCATTGCATTGGCTAGCGTTAGCTAGGCACCGCCATTTGTATCTCGTTGTTGCTTATCGTCCCAGACGACGATGCTGTGCATGTGTGTGTAATCTTGCCATGACAAAGACAAAGCTGGTGGATTTTGTGTCCATGGCGTACAACACACCTAAGTATATTTCTGTCAAGTTGCAGAACCTTTCGCGTTCTCTGGTAGCAATAGCTCGACGCAGAGTAACTCATATATTATTTGTGCCCTTGACTTACACTAGTAGCCAACAACAACTGCGTGCTGTAGGAAACATTTTCGTCATAGGCTCAATGCCCACGCGAAATCCTTATTTACTCACTGGATAATGTACAGTAGATGGATAGGTAGGACGCGATGAGACCCAGCAGCGGGATGAAGAAGAGTGTGATGAAGTTGATGATGTTGTAGAGGCGTTCCGACTCGGCCGACACGGCGTACGTGACGCACTGGAAGTACGGCTCGTAGAACGGACCCTCTTTTACACTAAAAATAAAGAGCTAGAACAAAATAAAAATAACAAAAAACACAATGAATATTTATTTAGAGGCATTTGTTTAAAACAAATGATAAAGTTGAGTAATAGTACACTGCCTGGTACGGATCCCTCCTCTGCTAGCTGGCCATTCCATGGCCAGTGGTGGGCAGTGGGGCAGCCGTGCGATGTTTGTTTGATGGCTGGGCGTAAGTCCGCCCAGACCCACTCATACATCACCTGACCCTCGGAGGTGCCCTCCCTTCCTCAACTACCGCGCCCTCCTGCGCCCGTTCCTTCACCGTCGTACCCGCCCCTCCTCTCTGGGAATACGTCGACGGCCGCTCTCGTGCTCCCCTCGCTTTCCGTAGAAGAAGGCGGGAGAGAGGAAAAGGGGGGGGGGGTTGGGGTTGTCCGAAGTATGGGCGACAAAGAATAGGCGGACAGTGAAAGTAATGCAGGTGTAAAAGGCACGCAAGGACGTAGGGCGAAGCGGGCAAATAAAAGTGGGCGAACTTAGCGAGGTGTAGGGGAAGGGGCGGCAAACGACTATTAACCCACGTGAGCGACGTTTTCAGCAATTTCCACTTCTACGTTCTTTTCTCCGTTCTTCGTTTGCCGTCCTCTTTTTTTGTTTTGTTTTTGTTCTTTTTGCCCCCCACTCGCTCCGTTGCTCTCTACATAATATCGCCGGTGCCAAGCGGCGCGCGCGTTTTATTTGTTTCCGAATAACGTTGTTGTCGTTAAGGAGTTGTTTCTTTTGGCGCAGCAGCCCGCCCGCGCCACGCATTCCCGTCGCCCGTGTGCGTCACGCGGCGTCACGCCCGCCGCCTAGCGTCGGCCTTCCCTCTGTCGCACCTCGCGTGGTACAGCCGAGTGCCAACCCCGTAAATTTTACCCGCGACACGCAAATTAATTTGGCCTGGAAATGGGA